TTAAACACCCTAGTTTATAATTTTTTTTAATTAAGGGTACTTAAGTACTTACACTAACTTCTTTTTTAATTATTTTCGTCATTAATTAATTAAGAGGACATGTGGCAGGATTTTAAAGGGGTACCTAATGTTAGGTAGGTACGAAGCTGGTACGAGGCAAATCTGATAATAGAATGCCCCTTCTTAGTATTCTCTAAACTATGAAAATTTTAAAAAATTTCAAATTTCAAAAAAATTCAAAATGTAATTCGAAATCTCAAACGAATACACCCATAAAGGACGTATCAAATCCAAGAACCAAGATTTTAAGAGTTACTATGAAATTTTTTAGAAGGTAGATTTCATGTGTTTGTAGGAAAAATCTTTTAACAACTCGAAAAGCTGGATTATATTAACTCATATATACCTGTACTAATGCCTTGACACGATCACTTGTCATCTTAACATCAAGATTTGGATCCTCCGAAAGCTGCAATAACACATCCACCACGTCTTTCACCGGTCTCTCATCACTCCTTTTTTTAGCCTTACGACTATCAATCACATAGCTAAGAAACCGGTTGAGCTTCCTATTCACAACCTTCATCCTCTTCACATACCCCTGAAGATCAAGAAAATCGAGCCACGGCACCCAATCGCCAATATTAAATACCCCGCTAAGGAAAAACCACTCGTCAAGCAAGCTTTGCAGCTCATCCAATTCTTCCACACCCTTTTCATTAGATGGCTCGTTAAAATCGCTGATGACCATGCGGCATACGGTCAAGAGGGTGTAGCGCATTAAGTGGTCCCTGAGCACGACGGGCTTTCCCGACAGGGAAAATAGTCGGGAAATGAGATTACTGCTCTCCTCACCCCGGATCTTCTCGGTCGATTCGAGACTCTTGGCGTTGAAAATCTCCGACATGTAGATTTTACGAGCCTGTCGCCAGCTCGGGCCGTATGGGGCGAAGGACATGTCTGAGTAGTTGAAGGATAAGTACTTGTCGGTTGAGAGTGGAGGTCGGGAGGCGAAAACTGCATCGTGCGTCTTCAGGAACTGTTTGGCCATCTCAGGAGATGAGGCGACAATCACGGGAAATGTACCGAATTTTAGAAGCATTATTTCTCCGTATTTTCGGGATAAGGAGTGGAGGGAATGGTGGGGGATGTGGCTGATCAGGTGGAGGTTGCCGATCACAGGCCATGGCTTTGGGCCGGGGGGAAGTTTGGATTTCGGCCCGCGGCATGGGTTGGGGAGGATTTTGGTGATGATGAAGGCTACTGTGGCTAAGCAGAGGAAGGCCTGTAATGGCCACCAAGTATCCATTTTTTTTGGGTAAGTGATAACTAAGTGATATGGTGAAGGGTTGTTTGGCAGCTAATGTATAATATGTGGTTGAAACAGAGCCTCTTGTGTATGGTCTCTCTTTTTATCTTTTATTTTTATTAGTATACTAGTACAATACTCGTGTATAACACGGTTAAGAATTATATGATAAAAGTTATTGCTAAAATAAATTTTTATTTAAGAATTTTGATGGACCGATTGATGAAAAAAAAAAAAAGAGGAGTAGATAGTGTAGAAAGTAATTTGTAAATCGTAATTTGGGAGAAAAATATGTGATAAAATTATAATATGGTAAAATTGTTATTTGCCCAAACTAAGAAGAAATTCTTACTAAGATTAAAAATAACAAAATTAATATACACTACCAAGTTTGAAAAAATTATTTATGTTTAATATCAAGCCTAACTCCAGAGCAAAAATAAATATATAAACAACATTACGAAGCATAGATTTTTGCATTGTCAGCATTCGAAGCGTGAGAATCTGTCAGTTAAGCTCAACATGTTTTGAATTAATATATATGGAGAGACTAGACGAGTTTTTCTTTTATCCATTTTGGGAGATATTTGAAGCTCGATTTGATTTGTTATGGAGTGAAGGACCTTTGTTTATCGTTGGTTTGTTATGGAGTGAAGGATATTTGTTTATCGTCGGTTAGTCGGTACGTCATTTATTTTTGTTGATTAGTTGATTCATGTATCTATTCTTAATATTTATTAACTATGGATATTTGATTTATTTTGGCCGACTACGTTGAATATTTATAGTTTAATTGTTACATTTTTAATGTTTATTAACTATAGATATTTGACTTAGTTTGACCGACTAAGTTAATGTTCATAGTTTAATGGTTAGAGTTGAGGCTTTAATCTGTAAATGTTATTGTTCTCGTTTATTTAATAGTAAATTATGGGTCGTGCTTCTTTATGGTAGCGTGTATATAAGTTAAAGGTTCGATCGTTCGTGTCCGTTGCTTAGACCAATCTATTTTTCTAAGAATTAATGTTGTCAATGTATTAAATTTAGATCACGTGTTTTAGGTTGTCAACTAGTTAGGTTTAGTCAAATAGCTTATTTTGATTAAATATTCAGTAAGAGAAAATTCGGTTAAGAGAGTGTTGTTAGCTAAGGTTGGTAATCCATTAGTAATTTAAAGAAGACGTCGAAACTAGTTAATTAATGTTAGATTTAGATAGGGTCATAACTGAACCGCAAACTGAAATTCTCTCATTTCGTTTGATTTTTATTTATTATTTTTATTTTTAGTTATAAAAGCAATCCCCCCATTTCTATTACTTTAGTAGATTAGTTGAAGTAATACGAAATTTTCATAATTTAATTCTTACTCCGTGAGATCATTTCTTTCTTTGTCGCTGCTACTAGTTAGTGTAGGTTTGTCGAAGAAACTTTATAAATTTAATTTTTCCCGCGGTTATCATAATCATTTAGTCCACTAATACTAAACAGAGCTAAAGGGAGTGTCCTTCACATAAATTAGTTTGGCTTTTGGTATATAGAGAATTAATGAAATCAAATATAGAGCCAAACTATCTAAGACTAGCTCTAAAAAAGGTTTTTAGTAAAGATGGCTTGGAAGAATAGGCTCTATGACAATGGAAATCGGGAATTTGGGATGTGTAGTTAGCCCATACTCCTCCTCCATGCATATATCCTCACGGCTCGTGCCCTCGACCAATCTCAAATCAAACCTGTGTAGCAAATTAGCTAACGTCATTCGGATCATCTTAAGCCCGAGGTTATACCCGGGACATCTCATCCTTCCCGACCCAAACGACAAAAGTGCAAAATCGCCGCCCAACAAGTCTACTTCTTTGCCTAAAAACCTCTCGGGGGAGAATACTTGAGGGTCACCCCAATAATGTGGGTCCCGACCGATGCTCCACGTGTTGATTAGGACAGTCATTCCCTTCGATACATGATAGCCCGCCACTTAGCAGTCCTCGAGCGCGTAACGTGGTGACAGTAGAGTGCCGAGTGGATGTAGTCTAAGCGACTCCATGATGATGGCTTCTATGTATGGTAGTTGAGAGAAGTCATACTCGTTTACCCATCTGTTTCTCCCGATGACCCTGTTGAGCTCGTCTCTGGCCTTTTCGATTACGGGAGGGTGTTGGAGGAGTTCGAGGATTGTCCACTCGACTGCGTTTGCTGAGGTGTCTGTGCCTCCGCGCAGTAGGTTCTGTAGATAGATGTTTTTTGTCACAAGATAAATCGATTAAGCAGAAACGTTGAGTACAAAAACTAAAGACTATCAAATCCAAGAACCAAGATTTACTAGTTTGTAAGAAAAATCTTAGCGATGATTCAAGGAATAAACTCAAAAGGCTAACCTGTACTAATGCCTTGACACGATCACTTGTCATCTTAACGTCAAGATTTGGATCCTCGGAAAGCTGCAATAACACATCCACCACGTCTTTCACCGTTCTCTCATCACCCCTTTTCCTAGCCTTACGACCATCAATCACATAGCTAAGAAACCGGTCGAGCTTCCTATTCAAAGCCTTCATCCTCTTCACGTACCCATGAAGATCAAGAAAATCGAGCCACGGCACCCAATCCCTAATATTAAACACCCCGCTAAGGAACAACCACTCGTCAAGCAAGCCCTGCAGCTCATCCAGCGTCACAACCGATGGCTCGTTAAAATCGCTGAAGACCATGCGGCATATGGTCAAGAGAGTAGCACATTATGTGGTCCCTGAGCAAAACGGGCTTTCCCGACAGAGAAAATAATCGGGAAATTAGATTATGCTTTCCTTGACCCGGATCTTCTCGGTTGATTCGAGACTCTTGGCGTTGAAAATCTCCGAAGAGAAGATTTTGCGGGACTGCCGCCATTCCGGGCCGTATGGGGCAGAGCCCATGTCAGAGTAGTTGAAGGATATGTACTTGCCGGCGGACAGCGCGGGGCCGGGAGGCAAAAACCGCGTCGCGAGTCTTTAAGAACTGTTTGGCCATTTCAGGGGATGAGGCAACAATTACGGGATATGTTGAAGGATATGTACTTTCCGGCTGAGAGTGGAGGTCGGGAGGCAAAAACTGCATCGTGGGCCTTTAGGAACTGCTTGGCTATCTCAGGGGATGAGGCAACAATTATGGGAAAATTTCCGAATTTTAGAAGCACTATTTCGCCGTATTTTTTGGATAGGGAGTGGAGGGATTGGTGGGGAATGTGGCCGATCAGGTTTAGGTTGCCGATCACAGGCCATGGCTTTGGGCCCTGGGGAAGTATGGGTTTCGGCCCGCGGCGCGGGTTGGGGAAGATTTTGGTGATGAAGGCTAGTGCTACTAAGCAGAGTAAAGCCTGTAACGGTCACCAAGTATCCATTCTATTGATAAGTGATAATAATAAAGATTGTTTTATAGCTCGGTGTATCTGTAGTTGAATCAGGACTTCTAATTATTGCTGTTTGAGATGATTCATTAATTCTCTGTTGGTGCAAGTATATCACTGGTTCAGGCAGAGCTAAGGAGCCAAACTATCTAAGACTAGACTGCTAATTGAAAAATAGCTAAATTATCTAAGACTAGTGTCCTAGTTTAGAAAGAACGGCTATGTCAAACACAATATTATTCGATCAAATCCATAACAAAATCGGCAGACATAAATACTCTTACTTTCAGAGTTAACAGATAAATTTAATGAAAAAAGAAATGAAGTAGATACTAGATACAAAGCACCAAATAGACAAAACATGAGTCAAACCTAGCCCACAAAATATAACACCCATTTGCAAAAATTTACACTAGTTTCTTCACTAATCAAAATATAAATCAAATATAAAAGCATGTTATATCAGTAAGCTAAATAATTACAGTTACGTGATCTAAACTACAACTGTGTAATTGTAAACCATCTCATACATGTATTTGTAATATTAATAACTTAAGACAATGAACATGTTCATTTTTATATCAAGTAGTAACAAAATTATACAGAAACAAGAGAGCAAAAAGCTCTCCCAATTTCCAGATTTGCAAAGAGAGTTTGCAAGCACTCATTTATACATCAAATAAATTGCTTTTATATAATCATTTATCATGATTGCTAGCTGCAGAACTGAAAACATGCACTAATTGACAATAAATGTGCATGGAAAATATTATGAAAAATGAATGAACGGAGTTCGAGAAAGAAAAAAAAAAATATGCATGCTATATAGCCAGGGATGATCATAGTGTCACGGTACCAAATTATAATGTTTCATATATTTGCATGTCAACTACATCGATACAGAAGAGTCAAGAGGGCTAACATTCACAGTTTAATTGGTGCTTGCAACTGAGTATGTTTGGAACAAATATGAGAGGATCTTCTTGTATTCCCCAATTTTCACGCCAGAGTTGTGATCAACAAGGTAAGGCACCTGTAGTATTCAACTTAATGACTTACTGGATAAAAAAATCTTAATTGTCACGAGAGAAAGAGAGAGAGAGAGCGAGAGAGATTTCCGTATATAATCAAATGGATGGTCGATATAGAGTTCAGCTTCATACATAGAGTAAATATCCCACAACGAGATGGCACCACACTCGTTTCATATGTACAACTAACTGAAATCTCTTCATTTTTCGTTGAAATTATGGTTTTGCAAAAATATGAATATATGTACACAGGTCGTGATCCAAATAAGAACCAATCCTTATTGTAAGAACCGTGAGAATGCTTATGTGTAATACAATGACTAATTGTTTTGGTGCTATTATTAATTATGATTTATTTTATAAAAACAACACTATATATAATAACATATGGGTAAATGATAGCACAATATGATATCAAAAAGAGTATCATATACAATTAAAAATAGCTTCTTATCCTGTTCACTGCTCTCACACCAGAAATTGTTTATATTGAAATTCAACCCTATATATAAGCTCACCTGTTTTGATCCCGAGATCTCATGAAGTAACTTAGCACGTCTAGATCCTTGACCCACATTCTGAAGTATATAAGGCAGTTCCAATTCACAAAGTGCTTCACGAACAATTCTGGCACACTGAATGGAAATTGAGCTCCAAAATCAATCCAATTTGTCGAGTAAACAAAGCAATAGTAATGATCATAAAGCCCTTCCATGGCATGCGCTTTTTCACTAGTAAAGCAATCGGCAATAAAATAACTTTAAATAAGAACAAAATTATAAGTGGTTCTTCCATGTGGATGCTTACCGCGTTATTTTCGTAAGAGAAAAGTTCCAGCTTAAGAGGAGGTGATTCTTTGATGGCGTTTTTCCATAGTGTCATCCCTCTGCCGGCTCGAAGAAGGGTGGGGACCCACCCTGTCACCAACGTGCTGCATGTTCAAAATAAATCAATTATACGAAAAGTAAGAAGAACTAAAATCATAATGAAATAAGTTGACTGAAAAACCACATCATTTTGTCTTGCTAATGGAGTGCACAGGGGCAACTGCTAATTTATATTTAATACTTCAAACTAGTTTCGCTCAATCCCCCAATATATAATTACCTAACAACTATGTAATTGGTCTTTTCATTATTAGTTTGGGCCTTTCTGATATCAGATTGTATTTAAGTTTATTGTATTGGGCCTTTTCTACATCATATTGTATCAGCCCAATAGGTGTTATTATCCCTAGTATAAAAAGGGATAACTTAGGGTTTTGTACTACACTTTGTAATTTTCTCTCTTCAGTTTATTGAGCCGCTTTCTCTTTTCTCTCCAAAATACAGAACATCTTGTTCTATCTCATACAATGAATTGTTGATATTATTGATCATAATATGGTATCAATCGCTGTGTTTCAATCGATCCTTGTTACTGTATTTCCGCTGCTTCATATCTCTCAGATTTTTCGTTTCATTTGATCTCTCGATCGGTGTTTGGATTTTCAGATCTGGTTCTCGTAACCCTAGATCTGCACCTTCAAGCTCTACGATTTGAGTTCTTCATTACTAATTGTCGATCCCTATGGCTACTGCACCGCCGACCGACGATCCATCATCGCCTTTCTTCCTTCATCCGAGTGATAATCCGGGTGCGCTTATCGTCGCAGAGATTTTTAATGGCGAAAACTACGTTTCCTGGTCACGAGCAATACTTATGGCTCTCAGTGTTAAGAATAAAGCTGGCTTCATCGATGGTACTGTCTCTGTCCCCTCTCTTACTCAATCCCCTGTCGAATCTCTTGCATGGGTTAGGGCAAACAATCTGGTACTTTCATGGCTGCTTAATTCTGTGACTAAGGAAATTCGCCAATCTCTGTTATTTTTTACTGTTGCTAAAGATGTTTGGGATGAAATTAAGTCTCGTTATGCATTGAGTAGTGGTCCTAGGGTTTTCCAACTCGAAAAATCTCTTAGTTCTATGGACCAAGGCTCATTATCCGTGACTCAGTACTATAACTCTTTTAAATCTCTCTGGGATGAGTACATTACTTACAGACCTGTCATCCGTTGTACTTGTGGTGCCTGCAATTCATGTACTTGCAATATTTTTGATGCTATGTCTGCTGCTCAACAGTCTGATTCTGTTATGAAATTTCTCATCGGTCTTAATGAGTCATATTCATCTTTGAGAAGCCATTTCTTATTGACATCTCCTCTGCCTTCCCTGTCAAAAGTCTATTCCCTTTTACTTCAAGAGGAGAGTCAACGAAATTTACATGTCCCAAACAAAAATGCTGATCATCTTGCAATGTTTGTTAAAACCTCCCATTCCCAAAAACCCTCTCAGTCCAAACCCCAAAACTTCGCAAAGGACAAGAAAAAGCTCAAATGTCAACACTGTGGTTATGCTAATCATTCCTCTGAAAGATGTTATCAGGTCATAGGCTACCCTCCTCATTGGGTAGGTCCTAAGGGTCCTAGAATTCACCCCTCTCATACTGCAGTTAACTCTGTTTCTTCCACACTACCAAACCAGACCACACCTTTGACTGAAAACAACAATCCCAACATCACTGATGCCCTCTTTCATGAGTTTTTAGACTTCAAAAGGTCTCAATCTCTTCAGCAAACCACTACTCAACAACCTATTTCACAGTCCCCTACTGTTGCTACTGTTTTTACACCATCCACCTCTGCAGGTAATGATCATTTTTCATGTTCTGCCCATACAACTTTTGATAAATATACCTGGATTCTTGATACTGGTGCCACTGATCACATAATATGTGATAAGTCTTTATATTCTTCTGCACCTACATCTATTAATGTCAAAGTTAATTTACCAAATGGGCAACATACTTCTGCATGCCATGTGGGACAGATAAATCTGGGACCTAATCTTGTGCTGCAGAATGTATTGTTTGTGCCTACTTTTACTTTCAATCTTATATCTGTATCTAAGCTGACTGCTACAAATGATTGTATTGTAAATTTTATGTCCTCTTACTGCACATTACAGGACATCAGAACCAACAGAATGATTGGTTTTGCTGAAGTCAAACATGGATTATATCATTTGTCTTTCAATTCTGATAAACATGTTGCACATATCTTCACTAAACCTGTTTCTGTTTCTGACAACTATGTATCCTCTGATAACTGTACAACCCAAAACCATGTATCCTCTGATAGTTCTGTTGCAAATATATCTTCTGATGACACTGAACTTTGGCATGCCAGACTTGGACACTTATCATTTCATAAACTTTCTCAATTACCTATATCTGCCAATTGCAAGTCTCATTTGCATAATCCCTGTGATATATGTCATTTTAGTAGGCAAAAGAAATTATCATTTCCTATCAGCATGTCTACTGCCTCTAATATTTTTGATTTAATTCATTGTGACTTGTGGGGTCCCTTTTCTGTTACATCTATATCTGGTCATAAATATTTCCTTACCATTGTTGATGATTACAGTAGAACTACCTGGATATATCCATTAGTTCTCAAGTCAGATACCCATTATTTTCTTCAACATTTTTATAACTTGATTTTGACTCAGTTTCAAAAGCAAATCAAAGTCATTAGAACAGATAATGGTACTGAGTTCCTATTACATGATTTCTATCATTCACATGGCATAATTCATCAAACTTCATGTGTGGAAACCCCTCAACAGAATGGTAGAGTTGAGAGGAAACATCAGCATTTGCTTCAAGTAGCTAGG